TGTTTGGACCTGTATGCTTTAATAAGACGAACAATTTAAAAAAGTTAAACATTAATCTAGAAACTGTTAAACAAACATGATTTGACATTAATTTAACACATCTACATGTCTATCATTTTCTATTTCCGGTGAGGCAGAAGAGGGGAATCAGTGATGGCTTCAGCGTTTGGTGATGGTTCTGCTTCGTTTCTTTTAGATGATGTCGCCTGCGATGGAACGGAAGAGTCTCTTGTAGACTGCGCCCAACGTAAAATTGGTAAACACCATTGTAGACGGAATGAATTTGTCGGTGTCGTCTGTTCATAAGACAGTAATATATACATACAGTAGACTTCACTTATAGCGAACACGGTTATAGCGAACTTCCGGTTATAAGGAACAATTTAATTTGGCCCGAATTTTGCCTTCTTTATTTAATATAAAAAATTTACGGTTATAGCGAACACGGTTGTAAGGAATTTTCGCTTATAAGGAACCCATCTCTTAGTCCCAATTAAGTTAAAAGTACAAACAAATTACACTTTTAGAACGAACTATCCGTAAATAGATCCCGCATTTTCAACTTTAGTTTTCATTGGAAGTCGTCTGAATGTACCGTTTATTGTTGTATGTACTTCAAGAAATCTATTAAAATGAATTTGTATAGCAGTACGTAATAGCATAATCCATTAAAAACTACTAATTACACTTGATTTAAATGAAAAGAAATCTATATCTTTCACTAGTAAAAGTCACCCTTAAAATGTAATAGAAGATATTCAATATAAAAGGAAAGAAAAATCGAAAATTATGGTTATTCTTAATCATGGAAAGAAAACGAAAAGTACTGAGTTTAGAAACAAAATATGATATTTTATGAGAAATTGAGAAAGGGAGTAAAATTAAAACTGAAATAGCAAAGGATTTTCAAATTTCAAAAAGTACGCTCTCGGGTATTGTGTCTAAAATAGAAATAAACGACTAATTTTTCTTAATCAAATGCTCTTCAAAATGGCAGACGTTGGTAAACAAACAGTTCGTTATATGTAAATATGTTCGCTATAAAAACTCCTGATACAAGGAACTAATTCGCTATATGATTTCAAGGAACTCCGGATATAAGGAACAGATTTAACATGTCCCGATGAGTTTGTTATAAGCGGAGTTTACTGTATATTAGAAGAGCAAACAGCAAGCAATATTATTTGCCTTGTTTCTGCTTACATTTCACAGCTGTATGTTTGTATTACTGTTATTCCTTCGCGCTTTATTGTTTCTGCTCTTTTTTTGCCAATAAAATTGTAACCTCGCATTTTGATTCCTATCTTGTAATTGTGACCGTCTCTGATATTGAGCCAGTCCGGTCAAGAATAATCCAGTGTCGTTCCTTTGATTATGACAGGACTGGAGTAGCAGTAGAATTTACATTTAAGTTGAAAAAGTCATGAACATAATATTGTATCATAGTTGGGAGACGTGTCTATTGAAAATATATCAGTTAAATCGTTTACCATTAAATGCACAATGCGTTACCGCACTGTCTAAAATAGAGCACGCTCGTTGATTGGCTATTTTTTCCTGGGGTTTACTCATACTCGGTGGGTAAACCACATATGGATCTCAAAATTGAGCATCGGTAAAAATATTTTCCATATTGGGTTACTTTTTATCTGGAGTTTCATATTGTGACGACAGGGAAAGTGTTCTTTTTATTTTTGCCTATGATGCAAAAGAGAAAGCACATTAAAACACGAGATCTGATTTATAATTGAGGGCGACGCCCCCTTAAACCAATCACATAGCCTCGTGTTTCGATGATCTTTCTATTTATTGGACAGTGATTTACTTTCATAACGATTTACATTTTTCTGCCATCGTTTATATTGTAATGTTGCAAAAGAATTAACTTCAGTAACACAAATAAGTTCCAGTATCATTTATTACAGCATCTTATTACTAATAAAACATAAAACTGTTTAACTACCTTGTTATTTTATCACTAAATGGTGGCATACAAAGGTAAAACAAGTCTGATTCAAGACTCGATACATTCAGTATGCCTAATGATCTATATAAAGCCAGACAAAACATCGTAAATACGGTTGTAGATTCCGTTTAACCGAACCTCTTCATTGGCACTCACCCAGAACCCACATTGGAGGCAGGGATTTTATGCCCACCAGGCATTCACTCTGGCAGATTGGAACATTTATGACGATACTAGTATTATTGAAAATGTTTGCGGAACATTTGTGCTACTCTATCAAAAGTTGAAGACGCAATGGTACCGAAAAGAATGGAAGGACAGCTATTTAACTAAATTTGTTTGTTGTTTTTTTTCCAGGATTTTAACGTCGAGCTGAAAACAATTTTTGTCAAATTTCGGTCTATCCACCTAACCGGCTTCCCTGGATAACTACCTAGTAACTACCAATTTATCCGCAAGTGACGGACAAATTATCTCACACGATGTATGAATAAGCGGAGACAGACACGTTACCATTACGCTCAATGTCTGAGACCAAATGTTACGGAGAAATTACGCCTCGCTCAAGTCTAATCCGAGGCTCTCCCTGTAAGCGGGCAGACATTTCACTAATAACAATTAAACTAAAGGACGACTTATAAATACAAAACCTCGTACACTTTAGGTGACTTTTAAACTTTCCAGTAAAAATATTAGTAAATAGTGGTAATCGACCCATAAAAAAGATAAAAATGTTACATCACAAACCCTACAAAATGTCGTATTGAACTGCATGCATGAAACACTGAGTCGAAAATATACAAGCCAAGATTTTGGGACGACCTGATGGTGTGGTGGATGGGGAGGGGGTCGGGTGGATGAAGGTAGCTCAATCCGTTTTATTCGTAAAAAACATCGGCCCTTCCGGTATAGACCTTTTTACGACGCGGTCCGTTGCTATGAAAAAATGACCGGAAGTGGTATTAATCGCGCATGCGCAATTTGCGTAGGGCAAAAAAATAAAAAAACAATGCCTTATATAGAAATGAAGACAATTCCGAGTTTGTTTAAGGTAAAAATTAGAAGATCATATAAAATAGCTTTTTACAGAAACACAAAAGATGCCTTCATAGCTTTGTGGCCAAGATTGCCCCAAAAAGGCATGGAAAAGACGATTGTTTAAGAATTCCTCCTTACGATCACTGACCTGACATTGAGATTATTGTTGTAAAAATATGTGGAAATTTATATATTAGCAAATAAAGAAGTCAATTTAACTGTTGTTGAACACGTCCATATTTTAAAAAAAATATTTTTATTACATATAATATATAACATTTTTATATAAATTTCATGTAAATTAATATAAATCCGTGATATTTTTAACATTTAAAATCGAGGTTAAATATCATTCTGAAAAAAAGTCGTAACACGTGAAATATAATGCATTTTTAGTTTTCAGTTTAGCTAATTTTATTCTTTATCCAACTTTACTGAGATGCCAAACAGAAATTGTTTAAGTCACATAATATATTTAAATAATTTTTCAAACTCTCGTGAAGTTAAGATGGGTAGTGGAATAATACACATTTTGTCCGTATCCTTGTAACACATGTAAATGCACGTCACGTACACTATTTGTCAATTCACAAAATCAATAAACATTGGTGAGATTGGTATAAATAAAAATTACGTAAATTACGACTAATCATTTTCATAATTTTAAGTCATGGTACTCATACGACCCGGTCGAATGATATTGTTAAGTAGCTGGCAAATAACAACCGGTCACGTGTCAATCTGTTTGACACTTACCGCCTTGCCGATCAACTTTCAAAGGATTACCAATTGTGTAATATTATGTAATACACGAGTAATAAAATGTGATCTTTAACATCCTGCTGTTTTAATTAAAATTACTGATGAAAAAGTCACCTAATGATACCTGGAACAGAGGACTTTTGGTCGTTGAATTAGTCCTGCTAATTTTGTATATCTGTTATAAATATCAATTCACGTTTTAAGTACTTACCGCTTTAATTCATCCCAAAATATCTTTTTTCTGGGTGACATAACTTGAAATCACGGGAACCGGACAAAAGTCCTCCCGGACAAAAGCCCTCCCGTCAAAAAATAACAAGGCGGACAAAAGCCCTCCCGTAAAAATGACTTGGCGGACAAAAGCCCTCCCGTGAAAATTATAGGGCGGACAAAAGCTTTTAAAACGGGCTTATAAAGGTGGTTGAAATAAATAATTTAAAGAAACCCAATTTAAATGAATATCCAAATGCATAGGTTTATTTTCTTTTTATTGACCTATCGGGAGCCGGTGTGTACATTATTGGGAGACATACTTAAATTTACTACTGTACAGTAGTGAAATGAGAACTGATTAATTATGTTTATCTATTACAATGATCTTCTGAAATATTGTTACCGCCGTCATCATGTAAAAGGCGACGAACATGTAATTATTCATTTGCTGAATAAAGAAATAATCTTCTTTCGTTTAATAAAGAAAATTACGCACCGTTGATCACCGCACTATATTTTCCACAACTATATCGGAATGTACTACTCTACTCAATATTTAAATAGCTTTTGAGAATCAGGTGTTTTCAGGTGTTTCACCATTAGTTTTTGTCTATTTTTCTCTTTCCCTTCACTCATTGTTAAATACTAGTAATCTACAACTCATATATTTTTTCCATATAAAAAATCATGCAAAATTGTAAAACAATCAAATAAGGACTCCCGGTATTTCATAACGTGTTCACTTATTGACGTGACTTTCACCCTTCTTAGATAATGTATTGTGCACAATATATATGTAGAAAACATAGCAATAATAAAATAAAAGATAAAATGTTCACAAACTCATATAATGATGTTTAATAATAACAGCAAAGCTTCCATACAAAATTAACAGATAAAGGTAATTCTGAAATAAATGTCCAATTAAATGTTACCGTAATGTAGAAAAAAAAACAACACCACACAAGAATTACATTGGGGGCTTGCGCCCCCAAAAACGAGTAAGTCTTCCTTAATAGCACCAAATTTTCACGTGAAAACTAATAGGCATACTTCTCCAGTAAACTGGGTTTATCACAATTTTGTTTTCACCAAAAGGAAACACCCTTACTCTAATATAAATGTCAATGTTTACATTCTTTACATAGCTGTTAGGAAGTACATGATTAGGCAAATTTAAACATATCTAAATTTAAATAAAGTTAAGTCTTTAGTTTCTTTCTTCCAGGTGTCATCAAACATTTCATTTTGAGCGTCACTGAACCAATTCTTCCAATCGCCAACTTCACCTGTAAGGGAATTTTTTGTTGTAATACTAGCTAATATCTTAAGACAAATAATCGTTTATAATGTATGACATATACCTTTTCTCATCTTCAATTTGAATTATTTTCCTAACTAAACTTTTCCAGTAAAAACTGTTCAATCATCTTAAAAACGCTACGCTTTATGTAAAACAATACCAGGGTCATCTAAACTGATTGTGGTAAATAAAAATCAACATAAATTATGAGCAGTTAATTGTGTACATAAGCAGATTACAAGCATCTTCTCTAATGTTACATAAAAAATGAAACCAGATCAAAGAAATAATTCTGATAAAGTGTTTAAATACGTTTTATTGGTTTGAAATATGTTCCTGAATTTGTAAGTTATACTTTAAACAAGGGCAACATAAAATTAAATAACGTTTTGAATTATCAAACATATTTTAGCAAAAGTTTTGTCATCATCTATACTTAGTTTAGATGCATACGCAAGATTTTGGCGCTCTTGGAAAGTGATATAGTAAGAATAAAATCGAATAAGCCACTGAAAGAACTAAATAATCATGACTTTAACCGCAATAAAAGGAAGACGTACTGTATGTCTATGACGAATCTACAACAATAAGGAAGACAAAAGACAAGACAGGTGTATATTTTTTGTATATGTTACATGTACAACATAACTACAAAGTGGCGACATGGCCGAGAGGTTAACGCGTCGGACTAGTATTCTAATGATCGCTAGAGAATGGGTTCGGACCCCGTCAGGGGCAAGTCGTTTTTTCCTTGAGCAAGAAACTTTACACTCATTGCTCAGTACTGGTTGGTTCCAGGAACGGATTATAAGCTTATTGCTTCCTACACAATCGAACTAAAATAAATTCTGTATAAACCAACATAACTGCAAGTTAAGGAATGCTAAATAACTAAGACGTGAATAATTATTGAGTGTTCAACACAAAACGTTCATATATTCCAGTTTTGAAAAATAAAATATTATTACATTATTTTAAAAATATTATATGATTCAATAAAGAATAATGTATAGGTTGATTACAGTACTGTAGATTTACTCTTTAAAGATGAAACTCAAACAATATTTCAAATTACGCCATTACCAATTATTCCGTTGCAATTTATACAATTAGATTATATATATTTCATACCATTTCAGATTATATAACCATTATTCATACAATAATTAAGATAACTATCCTTTTCCCGAAATGGTACAAATTTCAGAGCCATATTTCCCGAATTTGATTCTTTGAGAGTAGGATTTCTTTGACTTGAATGTTCGATGTCATGTTATAACGGTGGCACAAAGGTGACATGTGTGTGTTTTTATTTCTCTCGTGGGAACGAGATACTTTGTCGTGGCCAAGAGTAACTTAGTCGTGGCCACGAGATAGTTAAGTCATGGGAACGAGATACTATGTCGTGGCCATGAGTTACTAAGTCGTGGCCACGAGATAGTCGTGGGAACGAGATACTATGTCGTGCATGACCACGAGTTACTAAGACATGGGCACGAGATAGTTAAGTCGTGGGAACGAAATAACTTAGTCGTGCGCACGAGATAATTATCCAATCAGATTACACAATGAATATTTAGAAAAAGATAGAACACTTAGAAAAAGATTTATCAAAAGTTTTAAGTGTGTATAAATACAATAAAGATATGTTTATGTAACGGGAACACATAGTATCCTGATTAGTAGTAAAAATGATTACCTTTTCTGAAAAATTCGAAGTCCGATTTCGTAAACGCCTCGTAGGTTTTGCCTTTATCTGCTTTCATTTTGTCAAACTTACACATCTCAATGATGTCCTGTTTTAGCTGGTCATCTATTTGTACACCAAGAAACGCCAGTAATTTGTCCAACTCAGCTTTTTCATCCTTCAACAAAAAAAATAAATACTGGAATATCATCATTATCATCGCTCTATTGATTAACATTTATAACATTTGAGCCACGTCACGACAAAACCAACATAATGGGTTTGCGACCAGCATGGATCCAGACCAGCTGCACATCCGCGCAGTCTGATCAGGATCCATGATGTTCGCTATCAGTTTCTCTACTTGTTATAGGGTTTGTAAGCGAACAGCATGGATCCTGATCAGACATCGCGGATGCGCATGCTGGTCTGGATCCATGCTGGTCGCAAACTCAATATGTTGGTTTGTCGTGACGCGGCTCAAATATATTAATGAGATGTTGACGGTATTATAAAGTGGTTCATTGTTTGGTAAAAGCTTGAAATTCCAAAAACGGTATCGTGTTCAATTAGGTAGAATTAATTGATTTGCTGTAAGATTAATCATTTTATATGGCCGAAAACTTAACATTATTGAAGTATAGATGAATTTCATAAGCATAAGGTTCATTAGAAAATACCATGAGTTAATATATATTTTAAATAAACAAAAAAGTTTGACTCTTTACTAGCTTTTCTAGCTCAAAAGCCCTAAAAATTGTTTCGTTAAACGGTTTTCGGCGTTATTCATTCTAGCTAATGAGCGGTTGTCAATGTTATCATTTAAAAGAGAACAACGGCTGATAACGTTTGAAGACATTAAAACTTAAATACTCTTTATCTTTAAAAGAAATGCATTCTTGAAGGTATGGTTTGAAAAATTTAATGACAAAATAATGACGTTTACGTTTACGAATCCTTTCTTAAAACAAGATATGTTTGTAGAACATGTATGCCCCCTTTCCGCGCCAGGCCAATTAGTCATGTGATCAGGTTAATTATTGGCATGACTTCTGGACCCAGTGAACAAACAATTACTAACGGTTTATTTTAGTACGGTAATAATTATTGTGACCCCATAGGTTGTGTGCAGCAAATTTTAAAGTTATTACAAATCTTACCAAATAATATATGCATAAAATTTTATGAATCCCATGTTGGGGCCTCATTTAATGACAGCCAAAAGTTGTTATATTACATAAAGACCTTTCAAATTGTGCAAATACCAAAAAGCATTTTAGTTTTAATATAAAAATATCTACCAAGGCAAACTTTGAAAGTTTGTTGAGTTATTTTTGGTCAGAAACCGTTATAAGTACAAGGTCAATGTGAACATTGACCCCTTTGACCACAAAATCCCAAATGGGCGTCATCCTACTGGTCATGCAAAATCATTCATTACAAAGTTTGAAGTTCCTAGGCCTAAGCGTTCTTTTAGTTATTTGATCGGAAACCGTTTTTACCTTCAAGGTCAATGTGTTACCTTGACCTTGGACCCCTTGACACCAAAAATCAATAGGGGTCATCTGCTGGCAATGACCAATCATCATACAAAATTTGAAGTTTATAGGCCTAAGCGTTCTTTAGTTATTGATCAGAATCCGATTTTACCTACAAGGTCAATGTGACCTTGACCTTTGACCCCTTGACCCCAAAATCAATAGGTCATATGCTGGTCATGACCAATCACCATACCAAGTTTGAAGTTCCTACGCCTAAGGGTTCTTTATTTATTGACCGGAAACCGTTTTTAACCCAAGAGGTCAATGTTGACCTTGACCTTTGACCCCTTTTAATCCAAAATCAAGAGGGGTCATCTGCTGATCATGACCAATCACCATACAAAGTTTGAAGTTCCTAGGCCTTAAGGTTCTTTAGTTATTGATCGGAAACCGTTTTTGCTTACAAGGTCAATATGACCTTGACCTTTGACCCCTTGACCCCAAAATCAATAGGGGTCATCTACTGGTCATGACCAATCACCATACCAAGTTTGAAGTTCGTAGGCCTAAGGGTTCTTTAGTTATCACTCGGAAACCATTCGGTCTACGGACCGACGGACGGGACGGACCGACGGACCGACAAGTGCAAAGCAATATACCCCCTCTTCTTCGAAGTGGGGGCATAATAATTGTATTACCTTGAGAAAAATGAAGTTTTTGTGACTTATTCTAAGAAAAGCCTCACCTCAACGGAAAGGTTATATTTAATCGGAATTCACGCTAAGTAAAGCTTGTACAGGGCCAGAAAACAGGCTCCATCAGATGCTAGCTATGAACCCATGACATTAGTTTACTCGAACACAGTTCGAATATTTACAAACCAATATATATTTACCGTCCGTCTATCAAAATTTTTCGGCGTAGCTGTATTAAAATGGATTTTGACCTAGATTTGTAACAAATGAAATTGTTAGTTACAAAATCTTCAGCTAAAAGAGGGTGTTTTTCATTGGTGGAAAGACTGGCTGTTATGAAATTTAAGGACAAATTCGTAATCTTTAGTTTACTTGTCTCTAAGAATAAAGTTGTATTAAAAATATTTATACAATCGTAAACTAAATATCACAACGTTATGACCAAAATAAAGATATATCAAAATACAAAAATGTACAGTACATATGATTTCATGTACAATTTATTTTGTTGATAATATTAACAACAAACCCAACTTTTTGTATTTCAGCCTTTACTTGAACATTCGATTATACTACTCACTTGTACTTTATTTGCCGTAGCTTTTCTGTTTTCTATGAAAATGAAGCGATATTTTTGATCAACAAACAGATTCTCCTGAGCTGATATGAATTGCGAAAATTAATATATTTAAAATGCAACATTATCATAAAGAATCGCAAAACTTTAAGTATAAATAATTATTTTTTATGCGTAATAATAACAAATTAATTTATTCCTAGTTATTCGGCGTTTGTTTACACCGGTAAGTAAATTTACCGAAATACACCCCAATTGACTACCTTAATCTGAAGCTGTCTCACTTGATAATCAGTGTCATTGATGGGTTTATACAAAATTGAGTTTAGTACTTATAAATAGATATATTTCTGTATATATGGAACAACATTTTATATTTTACATTCCACATTTACAATACATTGTAAAATATAACCTGTGTAGGTGTACGACACGTACGTTGCCATGCCAGTAGGCTTATCTAGCTTGTATTCCACCTCATACCCCTCTACAACCCCGCCCCTAAAATATTTATTTGAATAAAATCATTTAAAGCATTATAAATATTAAAAAAACACAGATCTATCCGTAACAATATACTATATTATAACACGTTTTTACATGTATGTTTTTTACGGATAACCAGTATAGTATAAATGATCTGTGATATTTTAATTATATTTATTATGTTTTAAATAGTTTTATTCATATATATTTTTTGGATCGTAGTGGGATCTAGGTGAGGGACTAGTTACTGACCTGGCTAGCTCCGTACACTTGTCGGGCACTGATTTACTTAAGACATGGTTTTGGTGGTTGAAAGTAACTTGGGGTAAATTGAAACCACCAAAATAGATTTACGTCAGATACGTCTGTCAATCTTGTGAACGCAACTCCTCTTAACCGGATGGCAAATTTTGCTTAAACTTCCAGAGATGAACAACCTTAATGTGGAGATGGTAGTAAAGGAAGGAATTTTCGCTGCGACCAAATTTAACAGAATTATGGCCCTTTGTTGATTTTTGCACTATATATACTTTGTAGAAATTTTGTGAACGCAACCCCTCTTAAACCGGATGGCAGATTTTGCTTAAACTTCCAGGGATGAACAACCTTAATGTGAAGATGGTAGTAAAGGAAGGAATTTTTGCTGCGACCAAATTTAACAAAATTATGTCCTTTTGTTGATTTTTAGTTTTCAACTTGTAGCACATGTAGTCCAAAAATATTTGACCTACAGTCATAAGATTGACAGAACAGTGGCGTGTGGGGGCATCCGTGTCCTATGGACACATTTCTTGTTAATATAGAGATCTTAAATCATAATTTCAACGTATTGAAGTTTCTGCTTATTAATACTTCTAAGACTATGTCTATTGGTTTCATATTTCTTCTTCGTTAATGTTAAATCAAAATACTAGTCAAGCTGTGCAATTTTTAAGAGAAATCCTTTTTTTTATAAAATACATAATTATAACTTTTACTAGTAAGGTTATGTTTAACTTTTGATTTAAGTCTTCAATTATTCATTTTCATTGCCAGATAGATAAGAAGGCATTATAAATAGTATAGTTCAGAGTTGATATGTTCCATTGATTGTTTATTACAGTTTGTATTCGTTCTTTCATGAATAAAAGATATAAACAACAAAAAGATTTTGGTGTTATTATCATGACCTAATAATTGCAGCATTTTATGCACATAAGTGCTTTTACAAAATGAAGGTCAGATACATATAAGTTAATATTATTTAACAATAAAATTCAAGTTGTCAGCTGATTGTGGCCTTTGCAGTTTCTAAATTTGGTAGTGTGGTTGGTTATTATCTGGTATTGACTTTGAAATCAGTAGTCAAAAGTCACGGCTAGCATCTATAATAACATGACTAATTTGTTGACATTATAGGAGCATACATGTTTCAGCTAAGTTTAGACAACTCTCATAGATTATACTAGTAACCACCAAATATATTTCACTTTAGACATTTATATTGTTATAAAGTATTAATATCATTAATTTTGACAATATTCTAAAGCTATGAGACATTTTGCACTGAATTTACGCCGATTATCTTTTTTAAAGATATTTCTTGTTTATAACGACATGTATATTCTAGTGCGGCTGTCGACGCGTTGAACGGTTAATGTACGGTGAGATAGGATAGATAACACATAATACAGACAAACCTTTTTAAGATCCTCGTAGTACATGATATGAAGCGGGAATCCTGGATTATCGTCTGCTAAATGTTGCCACTCTGACAAATATTCACTGTACTTCCCATACTCAACTAAAAATGGATGTATTCAAATAAACCGACGTTTCTTTTCATTTTAGAACAGTAATGAAAATCTGAGGGAAAGTTGATATCCTATATAAACAAAGGTACACTCCCGCCCATTACTAAAACAGACACAAGCGGGCACCCGAGTTAAACAATCGGTCCTCCTCACATGAATGCATTCCAAATCTTTAGCGGAATTTGAACCTGCAGCGCTGAGGGGCTGATGAATCCCGACAGAGACTTGGAAATCTTTCATGTTAGGAAGCTATCCAGCTAACTTACGAAACGTCGGTGGTTTGACTCAGGTGCCCGTTCGTGCTTGAAAATAATAATAATGCAGGTTTTCTTCCAACAGTAAAGCCGGAACGTCACAATATGACATAATTATTCTGTATCGGTGCGACATAAAACCCAACCAATAAAAAAGAAAGGAAAAAATATAACCAAACACACTTACATTTTCCCTTCAAAGCTTCTGGTAACCAATCCACCCACTTGCCGTCATAGTCATTTGTTTTTATTCCTTTCAAATGGCAATAATATGACACAGCTTGGTCCTTTGGGTTTCGTAAACATAACACCGTTTTAATTTTCTTCGATTTCATTCCAGGTAGAGGAAGAAATCTGCAAGCATAACGAAAAGGTCGTATCAATATACATGTAATAACAATCTGGAAGCACGCACTCACTTAAACAACAATAATAATCAGGGCAATGCCATGAAACAAAGTTTTCAGATGCTTTATTGGTTGAAAGTCAAATTGATTGAAAAATCAAGGTCTTTTGAAGTATTTAATATGGCAGTTTAACATCTACAGACCGGTAATGATATTTTAAAATCTTGAATAATTGGGTTCATCTTCACAAAATTCACGACTTCAGCTTAACGAATTCACGATTTCAACTTCATGAATTCACAATTTCAACTTCACGAATTCACGATTTTTGAACGTCATTACTTCAACGTCATAAATTCATGAACTTCTCGATTTCAACATAGTGGAGGGGAAATCTTGAATTCGTGAAGATGTAATCATGAATAAGTGGTGTTTTAAATCGTGAATTCGTGAAGTTGAAATCGCGAATTAGTAAAGTTGATATCGTGAAATTCAAAACGTGAATTCGTGAAACTGAATTAATGAAGTTGATATCAAGAATTCGTGAACTTAAAAACGTGCATCGCGAAGCTGAATTCGTGAAATTGAAATAGTGAATTCCTGAAGTTTAAATCGTGAATACAGAAATCTGAAATCGTGAATTTGCTAATTCCGTGTGTTGAAAACTATAATCAAGGAAATTATAATTATTTTGAATTCTCTGAGATGAGATTCTTGTAATTTGGTTTTAAATGTTGTTTTATTGAAGTACGAATAAATTGCATCAATTAATAACAAAGTCATGTTAATATGGCATTGAAGTTGATTAAGGAATCAAAATTATAATCACTTCATGCATGGTGTATGATATGTTATTCATCATGTTGTGTCCGCCTCCATGGGTTCGAATCCTACGGTTAATTAACTAAAGGTTAATCAAATATGTCGTTTCTGTCAAAAATGCTTTTAATTTTTAATACGAGTTAAATCCATCCGGAAATTACTAAAGGTATGACCGACAATTATTTTTCTGTTTTAGTAAAAGTTAGTAAGGTACCCCAAAAACACTTACAAGGGAGTGTTCCACATACATGACATATGATTGATATATACCAAGGTTTATTAAACCATTTTGCATTTTTATTTACAGTGATATTGACCCTTAAGTGCCCCAAGACATCTAAAGTGAGTTACTCACATAAGTTTGCTATGTACCAAGTTTGATACAGTATATCATTCGATTTCAGTTCATAACTCTGGTTAGCGACTGTAAAACATTTTTCTATTTTAAGTTATGCACAGCGGCCTTGATCTTTACCCAAATGCAATAAAAAAAACAATGCATCCACGTAAGCTTGCTATACATTTTGATAACATTATCTCATTCTTAACTCTAGTTATTGGCTTGCAAACATTTTTTTCTGTTAAAGTAATAGTGGCCTCGACCCAAGAGAGCCAAAAAGCATCCTAAGTGAGGTCTGTCCATAGCAGAGAAACAGCGGAGAAAACAAAATCTTTCAAACACCGTACATTCACATTAGTCAATCTTCAACACTAAATGAAATTGATACAATTGTCTTATATTATCTTAGATAAGGTAAAATTCGGTACACGTTTACTGATGTGTGATTAACTGGACGCAATGAAATAAGTTTTGCACAGTCAGCGGTATACTCTTAATAGTAACTGTTGATGATTCGTAAAACTTTGATGTGTCTAGACATCGTTGAAGGAGACGAGACTCATAAAAGAATTTATTCAACATTATCTTTTTAACGTATATTTTTTGAGATTTAGACAAATTATTTCTTCTCATAAATTAATTAAATTTCTCTGATAAGAACTTGTTGAAGTACAAGTTGTATTTACCTGGGTGGTAAATGACTGTTTATAATCCGGGGAGAAGGTTGCTTATCAATCACTTCAGCAAAATTAGCTTCAAGCATAGTAAACAATTTGTTTGATTCTATCCGGGAGGCCGACTTGTTCTGAATCATCATCAATATTTCAAAAGCCCAGTTCGTGCCTGTATACCAAAAAAGCAATGAAATGTTTACCCAAAGCGTCATATTTACCACTGTTTCTAAACTGATAATTTTCAAGTACTGTAAATTTTAAGTACGATCGACATTTTAAAAGTAAAGCATGTACTCAGTCTAATGTTTTACAGTGCTTTCCTACATGTACAATGTACATTTTATTCTAGCTAATGAACATTTAAAACACACTATTTAATCATTTCTTCATAAAAAGATACAAACTTTTGGTTAAAACCCAAGGCCAGGGCCACAATTACTCGATGGCGTTAAAATTAAAATTACCCGATTAACAGTAAGTCACATTCAATTTTCACTTATACATCTTAAGAACAAAACTTTAAAATTTTCATCGGAGATCTTATACAGTACACTGTTCATGAGATGATTTGTAAAAGGTATTTACAGTTTTTTTTTTATAAATGATGAGTTAAAGCAAACCAGTTTTTCCAAATGTACAAAGCATGAGGTCCTCGTCACGAAACGTATAATTACGAACATCGTCTACTATCTTCTTTATCTCATGCGCTTGTTTGAAAAAACTAGGCACTGCAAATCCCCCAATATCCATCATAGTCACCGTGGCGCCACCTGCATCAGGAACTTTAACTTCTGTCATTTTTGCAATCTATAAATAGACATCAATTTTAAAAGTGACGACTTTATATTTTCTCTATTAACCCATTACTCAATATACACGCCTTTTAACGCCTTTTTCACTCCCTTTTTGTTGTCTCAAACGGCATGAACGGTTAAAAAATGTCTAATTTAGGCCGCCAACACTTTTTTTGTTTGAGAAATGTTGTTTAAAAAAGTGACCACTTTTTCGACGCGGCCAACTATCCAAAAGGGACATCAGGGGGTTGCCAGAAAGGGGATGTGCTCCCTTCTGTTTGTGGGGGGGGGGTGGGGGCGGTAGTCCCTCTCATCGCCAAGAAAATTTTGGACTTGTGAAAGGCTAAAAATGACCCCGGGTCAATCATAAAGTAACGTGTAACCAACGCTGAAAAGCATTTTAGTCTATCTCAATCCATTGAGAAGTTGCAGCACTTTGAAATCAATTTTGATGGAAAATATTAAGGCAAAATAGTAATTTTTGGCAATTTTGAGATGTCCCCTCGTTGCCATGGTAACAGGAAATTTAAGACTGAGCATGTTGTTACAAAGGCAATGGTCCAGTGAACATTTGTGCCTAGATTGAAGCAGTTTTTATAGTTTTTATAGCAATTTGAACTTGTAACGGGAGACTTTTCAATGAAAACAGCCAATTTTTACAAAATGCTCATGCAGTAATGGGGTTAAAGATGGCATCAAGGTCCTTGTCTTTTGACGCATAAACATTTGCAGAAGACCATATCCATTTTATGTCACAGAAAAAAATCTTAATAACAATGCATAATAATAATTTTCTTGAAATTCACTTGAAAGTTACTTTTGTATTGAGAACAAAAATACAGTTAAAGACACATTTTCTAGAACGTTTACTTAAATTTTCTTGCAAAACGGTAGCAGAGAGTCCCCTAGCTTTGTTTAAAGTATTTATTAGATATTGTTTCTCCTAAAGAATAACACCCTGTTGCACATTCTCTCTTTAGATTAAATTACCACAGACAATTATGATAAAAAAACAAGCAACTAATCCAGTAACTTACTCTTCAAACAAAGGTTCATTGTTTATACAAAAATCTCTGAATAGTTTTTTTTTTATCTTTTTTCTCGGCAGCAGTATTTTCAACTTATCACCTTACTGCTTGTGTTTGAAGATAATAATTTAGTAGGCTACACCTTTAAGGATTACATTTATATTTATAATATTTGAAACTTTAGGCAGTAAAATATAAATAAGGGAGGTAAATCAGCAATGCATAAACACATCGGTAACATGTGCTGACGAGTATTACCCCACACAACAAATGTTTAGTAAAATTCGTTTAACAATGTTTATACACTGTTTTTATTTTGCTTTTATCTATGTTGTATATGTTAGTATTTGTATCTATGAAAAACACGTGAACTTTCTGTTTATTATATCTATTGTTCTCGTTTTTGACATTACTATTTGAAAGGCTTCCCTTCCCTCAAATTGTGTGTGTTGGCTGAATTTAAAAGAAAGTATTCCAGTTAGACACCTATTTAAGTACGGAAGCTATGTTTCACTGCAGTGAAAATACAAAATTAATTAAAATAGGGATTTTATTTCATCAATATTTCATTAATAAGTATTACATGTTTCTATTAAAGATTATACAAAGAGAGAAATAAAAAAAGCCTTATTCAGTTTAGTAAAAAAAAGTCCGAAGTATTTATAGAGGAACAAAATAAATCAAAGTTATAAAAGAACATGTTGCTGTAAAAAAATGAACACATTACTTACAGAACCTATGTACCTATGTAAAGTTTTAGTCCAACTGCACTATATCCTTAAACTTTTAATCTATGATATCTATGTTTAAATTGCGGTTTATTAACTACCGCTACTTTAAAAGGAAATCTGTGTTTAGCACATTATTGTAAAAAAAAATACCTGCACTTTCCGATTTCTTTTAACACTAAGTCTTGTCTTTCCAATACCTTTATAAAACTTTATCCAAAAAATAGAATTACATAAGAAAAATTAAATTAACATAGCCTGTGTTTATCGATGTTGTAAACCGGTTATATTGTTATATCATACTCGGTTTTACCAACTGAAGTTTAAATATATAGCATTGACAATAGATTATGTATACATCAGACGATAAGAATGTTTATTTTAGGCCCCAGGTACAAAAAGAAAATATTCGAATAAATAAGATAAAATGTTTGGACAAAAATTAAACTTCATAATACCTTATTGTATTTATGTTTAATTACCAAGCGTATTAAAAACAGTTAAGTTAATAAATTAATGTGCACATACTAGTAACTAATGGCGTTATCAATCCACATTTATTGCCAAAAAGAGGTAAAACAAATAAAATGCAAAAATAGCCCTTATTGCGTTAGTCACGCAATAGCAATATGGTGATAAATACTGCACAATCAGTCCTTAATCGCATAATTATAACATATATAGAGGATATTGAATGAGTGTAAGTTCAATACTGAATTTATTGCACGAGTTGAATAAAATTATATTATGCGAGCCTCTGGCGAGCATAATATTATTTTATTCAACGAGTGCAATAAATTCAGGAATGAACTTACACGAATTTAATATTCTATTTATCACATACCCAAAATAAAGACCGTTTTAAGTGAAATAAGAGTCATTTTTCATTGACGCGCCTATAGTATAACGCTAACATTTAGCGCGTCTTTACACTATGTTTGTATAACGCTAATGACGTCACGTCAAAATATATGCACGGCCGTGCAATACCATATTTACGGAGTCGCAAAATCGGCACGGGTGTGTGATAAATCTTTATTAAAAGATTATTTAGATATTTAAATCTCTATATTTGCCTTTATATTTAAGTATTGTTTTCTCAAGTTTGATTTTCTGGATCATGCTCAGGCATACAGCTTGGAAGTGTTTGCCCTTTCTTATGTACTATTAAAGTAATTACTGATCACGAAGAAGAATGGGATTTTCCTTTTAACCACTTGTTGACCGTCCTAAGGGGAGAGTTATATGATCAATCTGGCAGAAAGTTATATTATGGAAGCGTGGATAGTCACTTGATGAAAGTGGTAAAAGTCATATAATGAAAACGAGGATAGTCACATGATGAAAGTGATGAAAGCCATATAATAAAGCGTGGATAGTCACATGATGAAAGTGATGAAAGCCATATAATGAAAGCGAGGATAGTCACTTGATGAAAGTGATGAAAGCCATATAATGAAAGCGTGGATAGTCACATGATGAAAGTGGTGAAAGCCATATAATGAAAGCGTGGATAGTCACATAATGAAAGTGGTAAAAGTCATATAATGAAAGCGTGGATAGTCACATGATGAAAGTGGTGAAAGCCATGTAATGAAAGCGTGGATAGTCACATGATAAAAGTGATGAAAGCCATATAATTTTGTTTTTTTGATTGATTTCAACGTCACACCGACACAGAATAGTTCATTTTGCGACGTTGGAGGAAGACCTCAGGTGCCCTTCAGTGAATTATTTCAGGCACGAACGGGCAACTAAGTAGAACCATCGATCGACGTTCCGTAAGCAAGCTGGATAGAAAGCCATATAATGAAAGTGTGGATAGTCACATGATGATAGTGGTGAAAGCCATATAATGAAAGCGTGGATGGTCACATGATGAAAGTTGTGACAGACATATAATGAAAGCGTGGATAGTCACATGCTGAAAGTGGTGAAAGCCATGTAATGAAAGCGTGGATAGTCACTTGATGAAAGTGGTGAAAATCATTTATGAAAAGGGAGGATAGTCACACGGTGATAGTGGTGAAAGCCATATAATAGAAGCGTGGATAGTCACTTGATAAAAGTGGTGAAAATCAATTATGAAAGCGACGATAGTCACATGATGAAAGTGGTGAAAGATATATAATGAAAGCGAAAATAGTCACATGATGAAAGTGGTGAAAGCTTTATAATGAAAACGAGAATAGTCACACCATGAAAGTGGTAAAATTTATATAATGATAACGAGGATAGTCACACGATTAAAGTGATGAAAGCCATATGATGTAAGCAAGGATAGTCACTTGATGAAAGTGGCGAAAGCCATATGATGAAAGCCAGGATAGTCACATGATAAAAGTGGTGAAATTCATATGATGAAAGCTAGGATAGTCACTTGATAAAAGTGGTGAAAGCCATAGATGAAAGTGTGGATAGTCACTTGATAAAAGTGGTGAAAGCCATATGATGAAAGCGATGATAAAAGTGGTTAAAGCCATATAACGTAAGCGCGGATAGTCACATGATAAAAGTGGTGAAATTCATATAATGAAAGCGAGGATAGTCACTTGATAAAAGTGGTGAAATTCATATGATGAAAGCGAGGATAGTCACTTGATAAAAGTTGTGAAAGCCATATAACGAAAGCGAGAATAGTGACATGATAAAAGTGGTGAAAGCCATATAACGAAAGCGAGGATAGTCACATGATAAAAGTGGTGAAAGTCATATGATGAAAGCGAGGATAGTCACATGATGAATGTGGTGAAAGCAATATAATAAAAGCGAGAATAGTCACATCATAATAGTGGTGAAAGTCATTTAATGAAAGCGAGGATAGTCACACGATAAAATTGGTGAAAGCCATATAATAAAAGCGTGAATAGTCACTTGATGAAAGTGGAAAAAGCCATATAATGAAAGCGAGGATAGTCACACGATGAAATTTGTGAAAGCCATATAATGAAAACGAGGATAGACACTTGATAAAAGTGGTGAAAGCCATATAATAAAGCGTGGATAGTCACTTGATAAGAGTGGTGAAAGCCATATAATGATAACGAGGATAGTCACACGATTAAAGTGATGAAAGCCATATGATGTAAGCAAGGATAGTCACTTGATGAAAGTGGCGAAAGCCATATGATGAAAGCCAGGATAGTCACATGATAAAAGTGGTGAAATTCATATGATGAAAGCTAGGGTAGTCACTTGATAAAAGTGGTGAAAGCCATAGATGAAAGCGTGGATAGTCACTTGATAAAAGTGGTGAAAGCCATATGATGAAAGCGATGGTAGTCACATGATAAAAGTGGTTAAAGCCATATAACGTAAGCGAGGATAGTCACATGATAAAAATGGTGAAATTCAAATGATGAAAGCCAGGATAGTCACTTGATAAAAGTGGTGAAATTCATATAATGAAAGCGAGGATAGTCACTTGATAAAAGTTGTGAAAGCCATATAACGAAAGTGAGAATAGTGACATGATAAAAGTGGTGAAAGCCATATAACGAAAACGAGGATAGTCACATGATAAAAGTGGTGAAAGTCATATGATGAAAGCGAGGATAGTCACATGATGAATGTGGTGAAAGCCATATAATACTAGAAATGTGTCCATAGGACACGGGTGCCCCCACCGCGACACTGTTCTGTCAATCTTTTTACTAAGTCAAGGGAAATAACTCTACAAATACTGGATAAATCCACAAGCCAAACCCCAGGTGCAAATCTAAAATATGCTGAGCAACCTGCCCATAAGGTTTATTGACTATGTCAAATCCTTTTTGAGAAACTTGCGACACAAGTTGAAAATTGCAAAAATTTTCTACGTGAAGGGCAATAACTCTAAAAATACTAAATAAATCCAGACGAAAATGCCTGGTGCACAACTGCACATGCTGATCAATATTCCTGTAAAGTTACATGACTCTAGGTCAAATACTTTTTGAGTTATGTGCGACACATGTTGAAAATTGCCAAATTTTACTAAGTCAAGGGCAATAACTCTGAAAATACTAAAAATATCCAGATGAAAATACCCAGGTGCACAACTACACATGCTGATCAACATTCCTGTAAAGTTTCATGACTCTAGGTCAAATACTTTTTGAGTTACATGCGACACAAGTTGAAAATTGCAAAATTTTACTAAGTCAAGGGCAATAACTCTGAAAATACTAAAAATATCCAGACGAAAATACCCAGGTGCACAACTACATATGCTGATCAACATTCCTGTAAAGTTTCATGCCTGTAGGTCAAATACTTTTGGAGTTACATGCGACACAAGTTGAAAATTGCAAAATTTTACTAAGTCAAGGGCAATAACTCTGAAAATACTACAAATATCCAGACCAAAATACCCAGGTGCACAACTACACATGCTGATCAACATTCCTGTAAAGTTTCATGACTCTAGGTCAAATACTTTTTGAGTTACGTGCGACACAAAAGTGAACGGACGGACGGACGGACGGAAGGACGGACGGAAGGACGGACGGACAGACGGACGGACGGAAGGACGGACGGACAAGGGTAAATCTAAATGCCCGCCACTAACGTGGGGGCACAAAAAGCGAGAATAGTCACATCATAATAGTGGTGAAAGTCATTTAATGAAAGCGAGGATAGTCACACGATAAAATTGGTGAAAGCCATATAATAAAAGCGTGAATAGTCACTTGATGAAAGTGGAAAAAGCCATATAATGAAAGCGAGGATAGTCACACGATGAAATTTGTGAAAGCCATATAATGAAAACGAGGATAGACACTTGATAAAAGTGGTGAAAGCCATATAATAAAGCGTGGATAGTCACTTGATAAGAGTGGTGAAAGCCATATAATGAAAGCGAGGATAGTCACTTGATAAAAGTGGTGAAAGCCATCTAATAATATGCCAAATAGTATAGTATTCATCAACAAAAAGATAAGATTTGTTTATCTATACTTTAGCTACATAAAGCAAGTGACTCAATGGACAGGGCCAATTTTAATTTGAGTGTCATGATTAATTTGAAAGTGTTGTTGAAATCGTCAATTGCTGCTACATGCCAAAATATTTAAGATCTTGGGTTGTAGTTTTAAAAATAAGTCTTTAATGTGTTTTCGTAAGACTATGTAAACTAAGTGACCATAAAGGCGGGGTCAATATTGACTGAGGGACATGACTTATACCAGTTTTGTTTAGGGCACAAAGGGAATGCTACATGTTAAACAATTGAGCGGTAGACATTGTCGTTACCCAAAATAGTTTTGAATATGTTTTCCTATACAATTTTATTATCTAAGTGAAACCTTAAAGTGGGGTCAATAGTGACACAAGGGGCTTGATTAATTCCAGCTATGTTGTGTTCTACAA